TTGGCTTGGTGTGTTCATCCAGCTCTACACCTTGTTATCTCAGATTCTCCAGCATCTGCAGTTCCTACTATCTCTCAAGGAGATGAAAGTCCGGATTAGTTTATTAAGTTTCTTATAAACTGCAGCAATAAACTCAGGACAGTGATTTACAATCACTGCAGCAGTGTACCTCCTGGGACAGTGCACAACTTACCTCTCAGTTTTTGGCCTGTGGACTCATGCTGAGCAGTCAGGTTGCTCGTATCCTGGATCTTATCCAACAACTCCTCCCTATGCCCAATCATACTTATCCCCTATCATTGTGGCCTGGAAACTTCTCGCAATCAGGAAATATTCTTCTTGTGAACAGACTAGCCTTATGCGTGTCTTCTTGCAATCACCATTGTTTCACTTTCCCCTTTATTTAAGGTTGTTGCATCTGCTGTGACTGTTTGCCTAGGCTTCTACAGTCTTGCTTTTAGCCTACACAAGTAAACTTCAAAATCAGGGCTTAGCTTTCAACAGCAGCAAGATGTTTCTCCTGTGCTCCTAATATCTTGGTATCAAGTTTTATATTGATCTGTTTCTACGTTTTCCAATCTTGCTGTGTTATCAAGTAGAGGCTTAACGAAGCTCTCTGCTGTTAATCTTATGCCAGTGATAACGAAGGAATAGTTGGTATATGTCCAAGTAAGAATGGTCTGTGACCTGGGGAATTTGGAGGTGCATAACCGGAGAACGAACTTCTTTCTGCTTTCCTTGTCCTCCCTAAGTGGATGGATGTTATGGCTTTGGGAGGGGCTGTCAAAGAGGCATTAGTGAGTTGTTGCAGTGCATCTTGTAGGTAGTACACAATGCAGTCAGTATCTATCGTGCAGCAGTGAAGGGAATGAATACCAAATCCCTTCCTATAGGGCAGAATCTAATCTTTGGCCACAGTGTAGATAACACAGACTGCTGGGGCTTCATCAACTTGCTTGCCTCGTGATATTGTGTTCAGCTATGATTTGGCCAGAACCAGTGGCATTTCTTTATAGTCCTTTATAGTTTCTGAAGGAACATGATAACAAGAGTCTGCTATTTAACGTCTTAAGTCTCTTACCATTTAATGAAATGACAGCTGATCTGTGACTGGGGAAGCACATAGCTGCCATCATGCAAGGTGGTCCTGGAGTCGTCATCCTGTCTTCATCCCTCATACACACACTGTGGTTGGTCAGTGTGTAATGAGTGGATTGTGGACAGTATGGACAGGTGATGATGTGACTGTCTTCCATGGCTGTAATTATCTTAATTCCAACCCAATGGAAGGCTGGTTTGTTCAGGTGGTGTATTTTTTAAGGGTTTCTATTGCCTGTCATTGAAAGGGGGTCAGTTAGCTCAGTTGGCTGGTTGTGCCCCAGTGAAATTCAGTGCTCCCTAGGGTGGGGAAGTTCTGAACTCTTTGCTTCGTCTTTTGTGCACAGATTGTGTGGGATGAGAAGAAGCAACGATGGGTGAACCTGAATGAACCTGAGGAGGAGGTAAGTACCAAGTCCAGACATTCTCCACCTTCCTGTCTGTTAATTCTATTCTTCATCTCAAGATGTGCCAGTCATCAGAAGCCCATTATTCACTGGCTATTCTTAGTTGCCCTGAGGAGATGGTGGGGAATTATCATCTAGCAGTATGCAGGTTTGATACAAACTGACCAGCTCAGAAGGCAGTTAGAAGGCAACTGCATTGATGTGGGACTGGATTCACATGGTCCCAAACCAGATAAAGATGGCAGGTTTCCTTCCCTTCTCTGGGTTATAGAAAGGGAAAATTGGCACAGGTTTATCTCCTGATTACCATTCTCATAAGGTGCGAGCAACACTTGAGGACAGGGTGGAATTAGGCTGTGATTGTTTCCCCAACCCTGGTTCAATATTACACCACAGTTGTCCTTCAGACTGTCTGGAGATGAAGTTACCGCAGGGTAATCACCCCTGATGAAGCCATAACAGGAAAGAAACAGAAGAAAGGTGAGTGTGTATTTTTGACAGGAGCAGGGGGAAGGGAGGGAAAGGTGTGATGGGAATGAAGAAAATGTGAGAGAATGGTGGAAATCAGGGAAAAGTGGGGTTGTGACAGGTTGTGGGAATGATGCTCCATCATCATCGCAGTATCAGTTTTGGCCATGCTGATGGTTCACAGTAACACCTGATGGGGGAATGCACAAATAATTTCATGACCTATTTGGGTTATTAGGAGGGGGGTGCAAGTCTGAAAGCTCCTCGATTTTTAACTCCGGACTGGGATTGGGTGGGGTTTAGGGGTAAGGAAAAAAGGATTCATTGAGGTTTGTGATACTGCTTGGTACAGTGCAGAAAGGAATTTCTATCCAGATTCCCTATGCGGAGCTGGAGAGAACCACTGCCAGATGTTAGAGTAATGTTGCTTGTGTCATTGCAGAACAAGCCTCTTCCTCCTCCGCCAAGTTTCCCAGTGACTGCCCCTACACCTGCCTCAAGTTCTATTCCCTCAGCCGCACCAGCACCCTCAAGTGGCCCTCCACCTAGGAACAGGTTCTCCATGAAAGCAGGTGAGGTTCTGTGTGCGAGTGTGCCCCTCTACCACCTCTTGTTTCTCTTGTTTGCCCCTTGGACTGTCAGGCAATGGTCTCTCTTGTTTCTATACAAAGTGTACAAAGAAGGTTTCAATAGTGTTTCTTGGCACCTCATGATGCAGTGCGCTTTACCAGTCAGTGGTGTATTATAGGAAGCATGGCATCCAATCTGCACACAGCATGATCCCACACGAAGGAAGGGAATAGATTGATGAGGGCAGAGTGATAGACGTTATTTACATGGACTTTAGTAAAACCTTTGACAAGGTAGACATGGTAGACTAATTAGTAAAGTTAGATCACATGGGATTCAGGGAGAGCTTGCAATTTGGATACAAAATTGGCTTGACAGTAGGAGACAGAGGATGGTGGTGGAGGATTGTTTTTTGGACTTGAGGCCTGTGACCAGCAGTGTTCCACAGGGATCGGTACTGGGTTCACTTTTGTTTGTCATTTATATAAACAATTTGGATGAGAATATAGGAGGCATGGTTAGTAAGTTTGTGGATGCCACCAAAATTGGTAGTGTAGTGGACAGTGAAGAAGGTCATCTAAGATTACAAAGCAATCTTGATCAATTGGGTCATTGGGCTGAGGAGTGGCAGGTGGAGTTTAATTTGGATAAATATGAGGTATTGCATTTTGGTTAAAACAAACGAGCAGGACTTGTATAGTTAATAGTGGTGCCCTGGGTAGTGTTGTAGAACAGTGTGACGTAGACATTGTGGTTAAGGCATTTAGCACACTTGCCTTCATTGCTCAGACCTTTGAGTATAGGAGTGGGACGTCATGTTGAGGTTGTACAATTCTGGTCACCCTGCTGTAGGAAAGATATTGTTAAATTGGAGAGTGTTCAGAAAAGATTTGCCAGGAAATGCAAGGTTTGAATTATAGGAAGTTAGAAAGGCTGGGACACTTTTCACTGGAGTGCTGGGGGCTGAGGGATGACCTTCTAAGAAGTTTATAAAATCGTGAGGAGCTTAGATAAGGTGAACAGCAAAGGTATTTTCCCTAGTGTAGGGAAGTTCAAAACTAGGGGCATATTTTTAAGGTGAAAGGAGAAAGTTTTAAAAAGGATACGAGGGGCAACTTTCTTTACACAGAGGGGGTGCGTGTGTGGAAGGAGCTGCTAGAGGAAGTGGTGGATGCAGGTACAGTTACAACATTTAAGAGATATTTGGATAAGTATCTGAATAAGAGAGGTTTGGAGGGATATGGGCCAAACTCGGGTAGGTGGGACTAGTTTAGTTTGGGAACATAAGCGTTGTGGACTAGTTGGACCGAATGGTCCGTTTCCATGCTGTCTGCCTCTGTTTTTATTAATGTTGGCTGAGACTTGCACATTGGCCGGGGCAGTAGTGGAGGGAACTGTTCTGCTCTTTAAACATGTGCTAAAGGATATTTTTAATGTTCTCTTCAAAGCAAGAATTTCCTCCCCCGTCTTATGTGTGTGTTGTGTGTGCGTGCACGTATCAGAGAAAATGAGGTCATTCTGCCCTTAAGCCTCCTCTGCCATTCCATTAAATCATTGCTGATCCCTAACTTGGCCCCCTGCTCTTGATTTGGTTCTGATACACTTTATACCCACGGCAACAAAAACTAAAAAAACTTTTGCCCCTACAAGGTCCATATCCCTGTATTCCCTGCCTATTTATGTATCTGTCAAGATGTCTCTTAAATATTCCGATTGTATTTGCTTCTACCACCTTCTCTGGCAGTGTGTTTTGAGCACTTACCACCCTCAATTTCCCCCTCTTACCTTAAACCTTTCACTCCCCATCTTTGAGTTCTTATTGGGGAAGAGGGTTCTGGATTTCCATTTGCCTTTGTGTGACTAGACCCTGCTTGGATTTTAAGAATCTGCCCCTGCCCCCAAAAAGAGAAAATTGTTGTCTTTATCAGCTCAATCAAATGTTTCAATTGTCTTAGACATGTCAATTAGATCATTTTCAATCCATTAGACTGAAGGGAATGCGCATCTTTGCAACCCTATCCTTATAATTTAGCTCCTTTTTAAGGTAAAAGGGGATAAGTTTAAAGAGATGAGAGGCAATTTTTTTTTTTTTTTTTTTACACAGAGGGTGGTAAGCGCCTGGAATGGGCTGCCAGAGGAGGTAATAGAAGTATATGCAACAGCAACAGATAAATGAATAGTCAGGGAAAAGAGACGTACAGACCATGTAGAGGCAGAAGGTTTTTCGTTTACAAAGGCTTCATGTTTCAGCGCAGGCTTGATGGGACAAAGGGCCTATTCGTGTGTTGTACTTTGTTCTTTTTTCTCCCCCCTAATATCATTCTGGTGAATCTATCTTACCCCAAACAATGCCATGGTCTCCTTCCATAGATGTGGTGTCCAGAACTGAACACAGATTTTACTTCATTCCTTGCATGGTGTGGCCCCATCCTTAACTACCCTTGAGAGGGGTTGAGGTGAACCAGTTTCGCTCTGAATTAAGGTTTGAAACATGAAGCATCGTTTCTCCCTCACTTGTGTTTCAGCTGTCAAGCCGAAGGAGCCTTTGGCCATTAGCTATTTCTGCATCTCTAAATCTGACTGCTCCTCTAGTCTCTAATTTACGAGATATTTTGAATCTGTCTCATTGAAAAATGCTTCATCTAAATCCTCTTTAATTGATTCTCTCCCATCCCCAACACATTCTCACAAACATCTGCACACTCACCCGCACGCATTCTGTCTCATACACATGCACACATTCTCTCCCAAACGTACATGCGCATGCACTCATTGATACACACGTACACTCTCGCATTCTCATGTACGCATGCATGTGGACTTGCACTCTTGTGTACACACTCATGATCTCTTCTGCGCATCCTCTCATGCACGCACTCTAATGCGTGCTCACTCACTGTCCTACTGACATACTCTCTCTCGCATTTACATTCTCTCATGCATGCACACTCACTCACCCACATGCACACACTCATGTATACTTACGTTCACACATGTATACTCATAAACGCATGTGCGCATGCACACTCATACATATGTGCGCGCATGCACACTCATACATATGTGCACACATGCACGCACAATCTCTCTCACAGGTACGAAAGGTCGATATGTGGATGTCCTGAATCCCAGTGGATCACGGCCTGGTGGAGTTCTGATGCCCCCAGTGGACCTGTTTGCCCCCTTGGCACCTATGCCGATCCCCACCAATCTCTTTGTACCGATGTCAGGTAAGGTGTCTTGCTGCCACAGTTGGCTATATGTGTATCAGTCTGTCAGCATTATAGAGTACTCCTCCTCTTGCCTCAAGGCCCTCATGCTGTCCAGAAATGACAACACCCCGATAAAGGCAGACTCTCATTTGTGTAACTCCTGTCAGTACTTCTGGAGATTCCAAAGCACTTTGTAGCCTTGAAGTACTTCCTTGTTTTCCAGTGAAGTTGCTGTTTAATGTAGGAGATGCAACAGCCAAAGCAAGGATAAATAATGGCAGGGTCATGAGAGAAACTCCCTTATCTTTGGGGTAACACCACAAAACATTTTACTTGTACCAGTGAAGATGGTCAAGGCATCGGTTTATCATTGTGACTGGAAGACAGTACTTATGACTGTGCAGCAGCTCCCTCGGCACTTTAGTGGAGTGTCTACCTAGTCATTGTCAAAGCCAGGGAATGGGACTTGAATGCATGAGCTTCTCACTCTGAAGAGAGAGAGTATGATCCACTGAGTGATACTTAACATCCTTGGAAATGAAGGGGGAAGTGAGGGAGTTTGGGGATGGTGAGTCAAGGACAAGATCATGGACATAAATGTGTCTGCAGTGGTTTCCATCTTGATAATAGGCTGAAGTCCTGCTATGTGGAACTTGATGCTGCTGCTTTCTGATTTGGAGGTAACAATGCTATTAACCGAATCAGGCACTCACTGTTAGGCACCAAATTAACCTGCAGAGCAGGGCTAGGCCATTTGGCTCTTCAAGCTTGCTCTGCTATTCATTGAGATCACGCTTGATCTGATCGTAACCTCAGTTTCACATTTCCGTCTAAGCCTTTGTAATGGCGTGTCCATCTACTTCTGTCTTGAAAATTCAATGATTTGGCCTCCACCTCTCTAAGGAAGAGAGTTCTACAAAGTGTCAACTCTCTTGCATTCTTTAATGGGAGAGCCCTTCCTTTTAAACTCTGTTTTAAAGTTCAGAACAAGAGTCATGAGCCTCAACGTTAGATGCTGCCAGACCTGCTGAGGTTCTCCAGCAATTTCGGTTTTTGTTTGATTTCCTTCATCTGTGTTGTTTTATTTTAACTCTGCCTCCGGTTTAAATCTCTCCAAAAAGGAGACGTCCTTTCAGCATCGACCCTGTCAAGTCACCTCAAGATTTTTTTCTGTTTCAAGATGGTAATCTCTTATTATTCTTAAGTCCAATGAACGTAGGTGTAACCTTTCCTCATAGGATAACCCACTCATCCCGGGAATTAATCAAGTAAACCTTCTCTGAATGTTAGATGTTATGCTTATGATTTTCCTATCCACTGGGATCTTTTCAGAATCTAGGGATTTTTAGAAGGTTATAACCATTGCACTAGTCATCCCTGTAACAACTTCCTTTCAGACCAAAGTCCATTGGATCCAGGGGACATGTCAGTCTTTAGTCCCATTAGTTTCCTTCTCGAGTGATTAAGATTGTTTTAGTTACCACCCTTTTGGCTCTGATTTTTCTGTTATTCTTGGGATTTTTATTTTGTTTTAAAGACCTAACAAATCTTTTGTGTTTGTGGTTTGCAGGTGAGGGGTCTCAGCCTTCAGAAGGAAACCCAGGAGAGACCTCGCAGCCTGTGGAACAGGCAAACGCTGAGGCAACCGCACAGCCCCAGGTACCAGTCTTATGTTCTATAGTACCTTGTTAAATAGCCAGGACAGCACAGAAACAGGTCATTCAGTGCAACCTGCCTGCATACTTTGAATCATCCTGTTCAGACAATGCTGTGACACATTTCTGGCACAGGTGGGACTGGAATGTAGACTTTCTGACCCAGAGGTGTCCAACAGGACAACCTGTGCTGCTCTTTATACCCCACATAAGCCCCTCGCGCTTCCTCTACATCTCACCCAAACACCAAATCCATCTGTTAATTTCCTCCTTGTGGTTATCCAGTGCCTCCTTAGGTATATTAATACTATTGATACAATGAATCCATATTACCCCACTCTCTGGGGAAAGAAATTTCTCTGAATCCTGCATTGAAATTATCAGTAACAGTGTTGTGGAATCATAGAATCCCTGCAACAGTGTGAAAACAAGCCATTTGGCCCATCAAGTCCACCGACTCTCCAAAGTGCACCCACACAGACCCACCCTCCTACCCTATCACATTGCCAATCCACCTAACTCTCATTTTTTGGACTGGGAGGAAACCCGAGCACCCAGAGAAAACCCACACAGACACTGGGAGAACGTGCAGACTCCACACAGACAGTCGCCTGGGTCACTGGTGCTGTGAAACAGCAGTGCTAACCACTGAACCATCATGCCGTCTCAACCTTTATGTCGACAGCTCTGAGTTTTGATCTTCCTCACATCTCTACAAGTGGTTGACAATCTTAGTAATAAGATTCATTTTTAAAATGATGTAATATCTTGGGATTGGCTGTGATATTGCTCAAATGCCAGTAATATTGAGAAACTTGACACAGGTACATTTCATCAACATTTCAAAGATTTTTACAAACAGTTGCTAATTGATATGTTTTACGATGCAATGTTCATAACAGTTTTAGAAAAAAAGCTTATCCAATTACCATTAGTAAATGACAGGGTGATAGTGGAGTAGTGGTAATGTCACTGACCAAGTAATCTAGGGGCCCAGACTGATGCTGTGGGGACAGGGGTTCAAATTCCACTGTGGCAGCTATTGGAATTTAAATGTAATTCAATAAATCTGAAATTGAAAACCCACTTCATTCACTGGTGTCCTTTAGAGAAGCAAATCTGCCATCATTACTTGGTCTGGCCTACATGTGACTCCAGACCCACAGCAAAGTCTTAAATTCCCTCTGAAATGGTCCAGCAAGCCATTCAATTTGAGGACAATGAGGGATGGGACCCAAGTGCTCACTTTTCCTGTGATACCATGAAGGTATAAAACAAACCTATCAAAATGAGTTTGATTGAGCAAACTATGGAAACTCAATTTATATCAAATACCTCATGTGTTGGTTCTCCTTTTCTAGATATTTAACCCGATACCAAATGCTGATTCTTCACCACCTGAGCCTGACAATTTGCAGCATGGAGAGGTAAACCACATTGCCAAATGTATCAACGCTAGAGGTGACTCCTTCCTCCCACCGAGTATCCAGCTCTCTGACTACATTGGAGCACAGGATTAGGGATAGGGAGTTCACCCGCTTCTGTCATTCTAGATCACAGCTGATCTTCTACCTCTGCCATTTTCCTGTGCTGTCCCATATCCCTTGATGTCATTAGTAACTAAAAATCTATCAATCTCTATCTCACTTAAAAACTGAGCTTCCACAGCCCTGTGTGATAGACAATTCCCAAGGTTCACCACTATCTGAGTGGTAAGTATTTCTCCTCTTCAGTCCTAAATGTCCTACCCATTGTTCTGAGACTGCATCCTCTGTGACCTCACAGCTTACCTCTGTTTCCTGTTGATACAATGACCTTAATAAAAGAAAATGTTTATTTAAGTTTGAAGCAGTCTTTTTCTCTCACTTTTCTCTCTCTAACTGTCTCCTCATCTGTTCTGGAGTTGGCTTCTCTCAGTTTGTTGGGAGGTACACAGACCCAGGCTAGCTTTGCCTCACCACAGTGACCATTCTTCAGCGCACCAGCCTAGACAGCCAGGGGGCTATTGAAACAATCAACGCTAAGACTCACTCTGTCATGAAACATTCTGCCTTGACCTGGGGCCACTGGGGATGAGGCACCCGGACACTGACAGCGATCAGCTAACCATCCAGAAAGACACAGAGCTTGTGCAGCCTGTATCTTCTGAGCTGCTTGTGTGTTAAACCAGCCATGTCATCAGGGAAAACATCAATTTGCTGATTCTATAGTTTCATCTGTCTCTAAAATAAAGAAAGCCGTCCTTTCTATGGCACCTTTTGCTAGAACAATGTCGCAACCTGTTTCACAGCCAGTGAAGTACTGGTTAAGTGTAGTTACTGGGTTGATTTGGAAAACATGACAGCTGATTTATAAACAGCAAGATCCCACATTCAGCAGCATGATGGTGGCCAGGTTTTCTGTTCTGGCAATTTCGATTGAGGCCTCAACTTTGGTCAGGATCGTAGAAAGAACTCTCTCAGCTCTCCTTGGAAATAGCATCTGTGGGATCTTCTCTGCCCCCCTGAAAGGGCAGAGATGCCCTCTTTTTCGTGAACACCTCATTCTCAACACAGCAGCTCTGACAGCTCCTGCAGTATTTCACTGGGAACGGTAGCCTGCTTTTAGTGCTGAGGTCTTTGGCATTGCATGGGACCCCTTCAACATAAGTGTCCTGTCATAAGAAATGTTTGGAGGGACATGGGTCAAGTGCAGGCAAGTGGGACTAGTTTAGTTTGGGTTTACGGTCGGCATGGACACGTTGGACTGAGGGGTCTTTTTCCATCCTGTATGTCTATGAAAGCTTTCTTTCCTTGTGTGTCTGGTGATAGATTATTGTGGCCACTTTGGTAAACATTTATCTGTTTTTCCAGACTGCTGCTCAGCCTGCGCATGGCGGCCCTGCATCAGGAGCCGTTCAGTTTTACAACCCTGCCCAGTTCCCCCAGGTAAATATGTACTTAAATTAAAACTGAAGTTTTGCTTTACAATACTCTATTCAAAACTTGAGATAAATGTTAATCACCGTGTACGAGGCATTGTGTCAAAGATGTTGCAGAACAGTCTATGGAGTAAATGTGACAGTGCAGAAGGAGCTTTAGACATAGGAGAGAAGTGACCCATTCAGCCAGCTCCACCATTCAGTAAAATCATGCCTGATCTGTCCATCCTTAACTCTACTTTCCTGCTTTTTCACCTTGATTCCCTCACTGACTAAAAATCTGTCAGCCTTGAATATACTTCACCCCCAGCCTTGACAGCCCTTTGCAGTAAAGAATTCCACATATTCACAACCCTCAGAGAAGACATTCCTGATCTCTTTCAAATATACAAACCCTTGTTCTGAGATTATACACTGTGCTTCTAGACTCTTCTAAAAGGGGAAACTATCTTTGCATCTACCCTGTCAAGTCCTCTCAAAATCTTATGTTTCAATAAGGTTGCCTCTTATTCTTCTGTATTTCAACAAGTACATAGAGTAATAGAGGTCTACAGCATAGTAAAAGGCTCCTAAGGTCAATGAGTCTGCACCAGTCAAAAATAATCACCAAACTCTTCTCATCCCATTTTCCAGCACTTGGCCTATAGCCTTGTATGACTTACCATCACAAGTACGTATCTAAATATTTAAATGCTATGAGGGTTTCTGCCCACATTTTACAGGCAGAGAGTTCCAGATTCCCAGCACCCTCTGGATGAAAATCATTTTCCTTACATTTCAAAACCTCTTGCCTCTTAGCTAACGTCTAAATACATCAATGTGATGAAGGTTTCTGCCTCACCAACCCTTACAGGCAGAGAGTTCCATATCCTACCACTCCTCCTGCCCCTCACCTTAAATCTATGCCCCTGGTGATTGATCCCTCCACCAACGAGAAAAGTTTCTTTCAATCTACCTCTGTCCCTCATCGTTTTATCACAATAATGTCTCCCCTCAGTCGTCTCTGTTCTAAGGAAAATAACCCCAGTGTGTCCAATCTCTCTTCCTCACTGAAACTCTCCAGTTCAGGCATCATCCTGGTAAATCCCCTCTCCATTGTGATCACACTGCCTTCAATAAGGTGGATTCCCGAACTGCGCACAAAACCTTGCTGTGGCCTTAAGTCCAGTCTATGCAACCCCTCCTCATTTGACAGTCCCTCCATACCTGGCATCAGCCGAGGGAACCTTCTCTGGACTGCCTCCAATGTCAGTCTATCTTTCCTTGGATAAGGCGGGAGGGCCAAAGCTGTTCACATTATTCCAGCTGTGGTCTGACTAGAGCTTTGTACGGTTTTATCAAAACCACCTGACTTTTATACTTCATTCCCTTTCAAATAAAAACCAATATTCCATTTACCTTTGTGATTACCTGCTGAACTTGGATACTAGCTTTTTGTGATTCGTGGATGAGGACTCCCAAATCCCTCTGTCCCGTAGCTCCTCTATTCTTCCTGCCAAAATGCATAACCTCACCTCAAAGTGCTCCAGAACTTGTCATTCCCCTAGCCAAGTTGTTCCAGTACAGTTACAACATTGGCATCTACCCAAAAATGTGGAAAATTATCCAAGTATGTCCTACACGTAAAAAAGCAGGGCAAATCCAACCCGGCTAATTACCGCCCCATCAGTCTACTCTTGATCATCAGTATAAAGTGATGGAAGGGGATCATCAACCGTGCTATCAAGCAGCACCCGCTCAGTGATGCCCACTTTGGGTTCCACCAGGGCCACTCAACTCCTGACGTCATTACGGCCTTGGTTCAAACATGGACAAAAGAGCTGAATTCCAGAGGTGAGGTGAGAGTGACAGCCCTTGACATCAAGGCTGCATTCGACCAAGTGTGGCATCAAAGAGCCCTGGCAAAACTGGAATCAATGGGCATCAGGGGAAAACTCTCCACTGGCTAGACTCAGAGAGACATTTAGGATAATCGTTCTGGTTGTTGGAGGTCCGTCATCTCCGCTCCAGGACATCTCTGCAAGTTCCTCAGGGTAATGTCCGAGGTCCAACCATCTTCAGCTGCTTCATCAATGAACTTCCCTCCATCATAAGGTCAGAAATGGGGATGTTCACTGATGATTGCACAATGTTCAGCACCATTTGTGACTCCTCAGATACTGAAGTAGTCCATGTCCAAATGCAACAAGATCTGGACAATATCCAGGCGTGAGCTGACAAGTGGCAAGTAACATTAATGCCACCACCATCTACAAGGCACAAGTCAGGAGTGTGATGGAATACTCCCCACTTGTCTGGATGACTGTAGCCCCAACAACACTCAAGAAGCTTGATACCATCCAGGACACAGCAGCCTGCTTGATTGGCACTACATCCACAAGCGTCCACTCCCTCCACCACTGACGCTCAGTAGCAGCAGTGTGTACTATCTACAAGATGCACTGCAGAAATTCACCAAAGATCCTCAGACAGCACCTTCCAAACCCACGACCACTTCCATCTAGAAGGACAAGGGCAGCAGATACATGGGAACACCAGCCCTGCAAGTTCCCCTCCATGCCGCTCACCATCCTGACTTGGAAATATATCGCCGTTCCTTCACTGTCGCTGGGTCAAACTCCTGGAATTCCCTCCCTAATAGCATTGTCGGTCAACACACAGCAGGTGGACTCCCAATGGTTCAAGAAGGCAGCTCACCGTAAGGGTAACTAGGGACGGGCAATAAATGTTGGCCAGCCAGCGGCGCCCACATCCCACAAAATGAATAAGTTTAAAAAATAATTCCCCACATTATATTCCATCTGCCAGGATTTTGCCCACTTGTTAACCTGTTTACATTCCTCTGCAGATTCTTTGTTGTTCTCACCACTTGCTTTCCTACCTGTTTTTTGTCTCATCTGCAAACTTGGCAATAGTACATTCACCTTCCCCATCCAAGTCATTAAAATATATTGTAAATAATTGTGACTCCAGCACTGGTCCCTGTGACACTCACTAGTTACAGGTTGAAAATGCCCTTTATAATTTGTCAATCCTTATTCATGCTAATGTACTACTTCCAAAATTATCTCCAACACTCAGCTCTTGTTAAATTAATGTTGTATGGCACCTCACCGAACGCCTTCTGAAATCCAATGCATTATTTCCAGTGCTTCCCCTTTATCTATCCCACTTGTTACCTCCTGAGAGTATTCCGGTAAATTTATGAGGCATGATTTCCCCTTCATGAAACCATGCTGACTCTGCTTGATCGTATCATGTATTTCTAAATGCATGGCTGTTATATCCTTTTATTATAGATTCTAACATGTTCCTAATAACAAGTGTAAAGTTGTAGTTACCTGTTCTTGTCGCCTTCCCTTTTCAAATAAAAAGTGTTACATTGGCAGTTTTCCAACCTTCTGGGACTTCTCTGGTTTTTTGGGATTCCTGGAAAATTACGAGTAGAGCATCCACTTACACTATACCCTAACCTCGTACTGAACTTGTCCTGGGTGTGTCTGGGGACCCGGTTGTGCCTGTCTGTCTCTCTTCTGTCACCACCAACAGCTTCTTGCCCAATATCCCCATTTTCTAATCAATTCTATGACCTCTGCTTTGCAGCCCTCGGCAGGAACGACAGGCTCTCGACCAGGAAGGTTCGGGCAAAGGAAGTATCCGACATTAAACTGAAAGTCTTAGAATGAGCTCTGAAATGAATGGAATTTTAAACCCCTACTGGGGACAATGCAGGTGATGTGCTGTAATGTTTGCAGTTACAAATGATTAAACTGGAGTGGTGTGTCATTTAAATAGTTCTTGCCCTTGATGAGGTCTCCAGAAATGCCAATAATTACGTATCCTTTTGAGGGCCAGTTGAGGGACTAAAATCTGATGTGGGAAATGTAATTGTTTATTCCTGGTTTAGCCATTTAAATAATAAAACCCAGTTTGACAAGAGCTGTAGCTACATGGCACAAATTACAATGCAATGTGATCTAAGAAAAAAATAACACACTCCAAAAGTGACTGTAAATGTCAGAGCATCAATTGCAAAGTGAAATTGGTGTCGACCAGATCCTGGCACATCCAGAAAGATGTTCAGCATCAAGTGATTCTTTAATTGCTATAACTGTTCCATTTTAAATGAGAAAAGTTTGTTTGGAAGGGTGGGGGGGGTAGGTTGGGGTAAGGGAAGAGAAATGCTGGATTGTCCCTGATAATTTGTATTCAGATAATATATATAAAAGGCTGCTGTATGAGTATTGTATAGCCAGACCCATCTGTTGTACATTAATACTTTAAAATATCTGGAGGACTGTGTGAATAAATATTAACATGTGCAATATCAGTGCTATCTTTCTCTTATTCTGGGAGAAGATCCAATGGACATGGGAGAAGAGAACGTGCAGATGAGTCGGGAGGGGCTTGGTCCCCTCAAAGGATTACCCCCCACCTCCCCTCCCAGCACCCTGTCTCTCAAACAGTATTTTGAAGGTGCTTTGACCAATTGCAATATTTGAAACCGCCACAGAGATGCAGTGTAATTTGGGAATAATTTTGTATGGAATGAAATCTGATCTCAATGCCCTCAAATAATGTGATTTTTGCCTCCAATGCCACTTATCTATAATGCACCTCAATCCCATGTAATTTAGCACCCTCTGTACCCTCTCATGTAGACTGCACAATATTTCAAACTCAGATTCTTCTCTCGCCTGAGAAGTTTATTTTCTTGTTTTAAGGATGCACACTGTAAATTGTTGAAAGGAAATAAAATATTTTGCGTTCTGGAACATTTTCAATCTTTTGCCCCGTCTGTGTTTTGTTAGTTTTTTAACTTATTCTCAGGATATGGGTATCACTAATAAAGACTGAAAGAACTGTGGATGCTGTAAATCGGGAACAAAATCAGAATTTGCTAGAAAAGCTCAGCAGGTCTGACAGCATCTGTGAAGAAAAATCAGTTAACGTTTTGGATCTGGTCACCCTTCCTCAGAATGTTGTTATTGTGTATTGGTATTGTGAGCTAGGCCAGTATTTATTCCTATTCCTAACTGCCCGTGAGAAGATGGCAGTGAGCTTCATCCTGAACTCCATTTGGTGTAAATACTGACAGTGCTGTTCAGGTGGGAGAATCAGATTTTAGACCTGACAACACTGAAGGAATAGTGCTGTCAGGACGGTGTGTAGCTTTCAGGGAAACTTGTAGGGGATGGTATTCCCGTCTATCTGCTGCCCTTGTCCTTCTAGATGGAAGTAAATGTGGTTTTGGAAGTTGCAATTGTGATCAAAATTGCTGCAGTGCATCTTGTAGGTAGCACAAATACCATTACCAATGTGTCAGTAGTGGAGGAAGTGAATGGTGAAGGTGTTAGATGTAGTGCCACTTAAATGACTGCCTGGTCCAGGCAAGTGAAGAGAGTTCCACCGCAGTCCTAAATTGTGCCTTTTGGATAATGTCAGGAGAGTTACTCTCTGCAGTATTCTTAGCTTCTGAATTCTTGTAGACAAAGTATACATCTGGTCTGGTTAAGAGCTTACAATCGCAACTTTATTGAAGCTTGCTACCTGTTAAATCCAGTTGCACTCGGTGCTAGTCAACATTTGAACTGGCTAAAGTTGCAAGCACAGCTATTGCCTGCAGTTTTCCCAGAATTGACGTGGATGCTAAAGCTAGGAGTGGGTTCGGAGGAGATTCATAGGCATCAGGAAATCTAGCAATGGGGAACCAGGGGGGAAAAGAAACTGAAGTTTAACAATATATCGGATAGAGGTTCAAAATTGAGGGAAGAATAATGAGGTTGTTGACTTGCTCGCTGCGCTGGCTGTTTTGTCACCATGCTAAGTAACATCATCAGTGCAGACTCTGATGAAGTTATGTTGCTTTACTGTGCTTCGTATTCACATGATCTGATCTGTTGAGATGTTTTGTGTCATTTCCAGTTCTTTTTTGCAAGGGTTTGTATATGGGGACTAATTAGAATCAGGCCTCTATGAATTCCTGTGTGCCTCTGGTTGGCTTGAGCTAGGATGGTCACGTCGTCCCAGTTAATCGATAACTGATGATGTTCCTACGCATGATGATGAAACGTCTGAACTATAACCAGCCAGCTGGGCGAGCAAGTCAACAACCTCACCACAAGCCGAGCTACAAATCTTCGCAAGAACTTTAAAAGCAAGAGTTAAGGTTGAGCCTGTAATGATCCTTGTATCATTATGACCTGAAATGTTAAGTCTTTCTCTCCTTGGCTGATACCTGACCTGCTGAAATATACAGCTTTTTCGTCTTCATTTCGATATTCCCAGCCTCTCCAGTATTTTGCTTTGCAAAGTCAGGGAGTTTTGATGAGCTGAATAGTAAAACTTGCTTGTCTCCTACACGGCTGTTTGACAGATTGGGGAAACAAAACCTACAGGCAGACGGTATCTCTCTCCCTTCCCTCTTCCCTGGGATGACTCCTCCAGTATCCCCGCATGCACAGCGGCTGGGTCCTCCACGTTCCCGAGATGCACCATGCCCAGCGTTGCCAACGTGCTTTGCTCCAGTTGCTAAGGGCCTCAGGCTTTTACATGGCCCCGGCGTCAGGAGCTGGCAGTGTGTCCGGAGGCAGTGCGGGGAGCCCGGCAGCTGGGCCGAGCCGGCCGGTGAGGTGAGCGGAGGCGGCCTCTTTACCCCCAGGATAGGTGTTCGATAGCGGCTGGGCCTGGAGTAGTTGGAGGTTCCGACTTCCTCAGGCTGGTGCATTCGACTGTGTGGGGCATCGTAGGTTCGCTGGGAGAGGGAGGGGGTTCACTGAGCCTACTGCCCCGGGTGGGGGCGCCAGGGGCTCAGTGCAGCCGGCGCCAGGTTGTTGTCAGTGCCTGAGCGGCCGGGGATGGAGGGAATTGCCTTCAGTACCGCAGGGCCCACCTGCCCGGGGGTGCTCCCAATCACCGGCAACATTGGGGCTGGTTCCCATTGAACCTTTTCCAGTTTCCGGCCTGAGCTCCGCTCAAAAACTGGCTGTTAGCTTCAGCTTCAGCTCCAGCTCCATCTTCGTCTAATAAATCTCCACATTATTACAAAAATGTACATCGCACCTACACCCCCTCACCCACTCCCTGCCACCTCCCTCTCCCCGGCTCCCCCC